TGATTTTCATTTGGTTTCACCAAAGACAATTGTCTTTGGTTTCACGTGATAGTTAATCTGATTTATCATATAGCATTACAAACAGGAAGTCCTCGGCATGGGTCAGAGTACTAGTATACCCCAGACTACTCGTTTTGATGAATATAACATGTACGGAAACATTACTGCCGTCTGAAACTAACTTTTAATTTTATTCAATTAAACAGGAACATATATATTAAAAGTCATATTTTTTACTAGTGAACCACGTTCACGAGAACATCTGATAACTATTGTGTGTTCGGAAGATGCGCATTGCGGAAAGATACTTGTAGTTTGATACGAAAGTAGTGACATCGCATGGAAGTAAATATGACGTTATTGTTTACTTGCTCATCATAATATTCCAGCCCTGCTTACGTTGGGCATACGGCGTTTGACATTGGTGTTACTATATGTACTATACTGTCTATGGTTAAACAGGGCCCAAATTGATAGGGAGTAAAACACGGAAGTGGAAGAGCTGTCCATGCATTGACCAATCACACAAGAGCTCACAAACACCAACGAAATATTTGTTGTTGTACTTAACAAAGGGGTTTGGCACTAAAAACAATGGAACGTTTATAGGCTTAACGTTGGATTTAGATCGTGTTATAATCCAAATCCCCCACTAAGACTTGTAAGCACCAATTTTCATATGGTAAATTTGGGAAAGTGCTGGTGTAGTGGTTGTTTCGGTATTTATTTATTACAAGCTATTTGCGAATTCATTACAGGTAATATGAGTATACTAGTGCATTCTGCGGCCGTATGTTTACTAGCGAAGCGATTAGGAATGCAGAATGGATACACCACAAGGGGAGTAACCAGTTTTGAACTCTGAATCCTTAATCCGGTATTTTATTCTTTTCATATGCAAATGTTGGCAGACGCTTGGTTTTTCACATTGTTTTATTTTGTCGGCGCACTTGCTCAATCTGTCGTGAAAATGCCGTAATTATTACGTGGACACGGGACTATTTTGCATTGTTATATTATTGCTCTCGATAATCCTGTTTGTGCAAGAAAATGACTCCACAGGTTTAATTATTCAACTATGCGTAACTATAAAATTAAACATTATAAATGAAGTGTCAAAACAAACCGCTTAATTCAAGTTGTCCAATTTAGAAAAGACTATTATCTTATTTGCACAGTCATTACCAATATTATTGAGCGAGGCTCTAACTATGAATACTTCAGTACATATACAATAAATAAGGTAAATTATTTGATATCGTGCTTATTCCAGGGTTGTATACACTAATACAGTTATGCGTGAATAACAAGTGAAATGTGATCACCGCAGTTTGAATATTTCCGTGTTATATAGTTATCGTTTATATAGGCGCATTCAATATGAAATTGTAATGAATATTTCCACAATATATAAAAACAAGTATAACTGGTAAATTTAAGTTCCCGGGTGAGCAGCGTTGTGCACATTTCTCCCCGTAGATAAACTGTACTTTAGTTTACTGTTCTGTACAATACACCACCTTCGTCTAGTCTAGCTCTATCTTCACCTTCCCCACAACTCTGAATGAGATCCGAATTGAATTCGAGCAAAATTGCTATGACTTAGTAGAGGAGAAAATCCTGTATATTGTGAACAGTTTATTTATTTACCGTCACTGCTAGATAATAGTGGTTGACAAGACTTTTACTTATTTTGTATCTCTGCACTCAAACCTAACTAAGTTTTAAAGAAATCTTGACCAATTCTCAAGTAATGACAGATTTGGCAAACAATCAGTACCGTGATATTCATAGTAACTGATGTGAATTGACAAAAATGAAACCGGTTTTCGATCTTCTAACAGTGAAATATGCAGGTTTACTGGATCTCCCGGTGGCCTGTGTGCTAATTAGAAACATTAGGAATTGGGGCTTAATGTTTAGAAGATGTTGGGTCATTACCAAGTGCAATTTTAGCGGATAGAGTAAGAGTCTGGGAGTTATAAAAACAAATTTGTTTGCTTGGTGTCTTCGACCACAACTATGCCCGTATATGCCATAGGACTAAACCTATAGAGGTATGTACGTGTTGTTAGTGGAATGAGGGGCGGCAAAGGGGGTAGCACTATCTGGTACAGGTCACAGGTAATAAAAAACGACATTTTACGTTTTTACGGGAAATAAAATGAAAGTTCCATTTACGGAAAAATATTTTTTTTTACACTTTACAGGTAAAGCAAATTCCTAATTACATTTTACTTTTTATAATATTTTCGATAACTTGTGTTTAGGAATCAAAATTTGAAATTGCGTACGAATTACGACATTTCATTTGGAAAATGCTTTATACACTTACAAAAAATAATATCTTTGTACAAATTGCGAACGAATAAAATAGCTGATTA